AAGAAGAGAGAAAAAAAGGCCTTCTAATTAGACTTGAAATTGTACCAATAGCTCAGACTAATATTTTATAGCCCTGTTGTATTACAGCTTATTACAGCTATTCTGTGCATATGTAGAATAGACTTGAAATCAGTAACTTGAAGCTGTAGGTTTCCTTCATAATTTTTCATTGCAATATGATTTGTTACTGTAAGCATTAGGTATTTTTAGCATTTTGCTCCTCAATCTTATTTCCTACTCTTTTTTCTTCACTCTCCCAGTCTTTAAATACCATTATTTTAAGCTACTGTTTAAAAGAGTCTTATTGTATTTATTGAAGAATATTTCTCTTTGCAGGACAAATATGATGATGCCATCATTGGTATTAAATCAACAGCTCTGAAGTTTGGTGACCAAACTTGGAAATGGCTGAGTGGATTTGGCCTCACATTTGTGTCATCTCTATTATTAACTGGCTATAATGCTCAGTTAGCATGGCCATATTATTCTGCAGTTGCTGCAGTAGCATTTCATGTCACAAATCAGGTAAAAAAAACTTTTGGAATTATTGTAACATTTGACCATAAGTTGTGAAGTCATGGTGTATAGCTTATTTCCATTGATTATTACCTGTCATTTTACTTTCAGCTGACAGAATTAGAGGTGTTCTTTTGTATATGGATTTTTTTTTTTTTTTTTTTTTTTTTAACTTTTCATTATTTATCTTATATTTGAAGTATATATTATTAAGCCTTAGTTGAGAAAACTAGAAAGTCTAGAAATCTAAGTTGCCCCCAGCAAAAAGCTTGCTTTCTTTTACTGATTTTTTCTTGAATTTAATTGATTATTGGGGAATGTGTTGGTTGACAAAAGGTGCAATGATTTGGCTATTTGTTTTATAATTTGGAGGAATAATTTCAATAACAATGCCCACTGGATATTACTAAGGTAAACTTATATGTGTGAAGGTAAAATGTAAAGTTATGTTTAATGTAAATGAGAATATTTCATATTCTGTCAGTAAGCCATGTTCCTTTACATATTCAGTGCATTGAACCAGTGCAATTGGGCAATAATCAAAGTGCTCTTGTCTTTTTGTTAGCTTTACCCCAATGCTTCTAGGGAAATCATATACGTACGTGGCCACTGTCTTTACATATAGATGACTCTACAAGTCATTTAGATGCTGTAATCATGAAGGAATGAATTACAAGTACTACCTATCTCTCCTGTTTACCATTTTCTGTGATGGATTGATTGAAAAAAAGAAAAAGGGGGGGGGGCGAGAGATCAGGTGATGTCACAAAGATGATTTATTGACTCCTTAGTGGATGAGCACTTGTGGAGCAGTCTATGTGTAGAGGCTTGTGCTCAGATTCCATCGCGGGCCACGGCAGGCACGCAGGTAGATTCTGGGCCAGCCCCGAGCACTGATTTTGTAGCCGCCCAGAAACTATTATTTTCGGCTTCAAAATATACCGGCGTTAGTGGGTTAATAATTAAAAAGCTATTATTGTTTTGTTCACACTTTATAGCTCTTTTAGATTTTTAGATTTTCCATTCAACTGGGCCACACTTGTCCTCTCTTTCACTGACTTCAGTGAGACGCTAATTTTTCATTAGCTTTGAAGAAAAAATTGCCTCTCAGAATATCTGAAATTGGTGTTGATTCTTTTTTAGTTATTGTTTTGTTTTCATAAACACCAGCTTATCAGGAATAATCTTTTTAAGTGTATGTCTTTTCATTTCTTTACAACAGGTACGAACTCTTGATATCAACAACCCAGGAGACTGTGGAGACAAATTTAGAGCAAATCGTCATTTAGGTTTGCTTTTGTTTGCAGGTATAGTTGGAGGAACTTTACTGAAATCTGATGAGGAAAATCCACAAAGTTTAGAGCTGAATCCAATATGTAATGAATTATAGGGATATGTGAGCTGTGATTATGTAGAGCCTTTGATTATATATTAGACATCTAGTCAAGAGGTATTATTACTGAAAAATTGTTGATTCAAGCCTAAGATTTGTAAATACAATTTTTAAATATATGAGTTGACTTTCTTATTATCCTCTTCCTAGAAATCATCTTTAGGAACATAAAAGTAAATATTGATTTTGGAAGTATGACATACATATTACATATTAACCCTTTCCCTGATACATGCGTCATTCGGCGACTGCACTGACGGCTTCTGAGCGGATACGTGCGTCAATGTACGCACGTAACAAAATTGCTCTATAAAACCTAGCTCATTTACTGGATTGCAGCATGGCTCTGCATGAACAAAGCCCTTGTAAGGGACATCATCATTATGTTTTTTGTAGATATTCATCAATTTATTTCAAAATATATTAGAAAAAATAAGCAGTACGATTACTGCTTCATTTTGTAAGATTTGGCAAATTAAGATGAGCCATATCTGTACTGTCAATCAAACCTGACCTCAGTAGGCAGTGTCACCTTTTCTTAGGTACCGCTCAGCCGCGCACGACCTTAGCTGTCTTTATATATATATATATATATATATATATATATATATATATATATATATATATATATATATATATATATATTTAGATAGATATAGATATAGATAGATATAGATATATATTATATACGTATATATATATATACGTATATATACGTATATATATAATATATATATATGTATATATATATATATATGTATATATATACATATGTAGAGGAAGAACCCAATCACAACCCCAGATTTAGTTTTATTGCTGTGTGCCGAGTAATAATGGATATAATCATCTTTATTAGTCGGCTTCCTGTATACAGAAAAACGTAGGTCTTCATCACCCCGATGGATCAGAGTGTCCAGGAAAGGCAACTTCTGATCCTCTTCTTCCTCCACGCTGAACTCGATTTTCTCGTGGACGGAGTTCAGCCGCATCAGTGTATGGTACCAGCGCCCAGACCCACATCGCTGGACATGGTACAGTGATGCGGGTAACGCAGCCAAGGAGATCGACCACATACTTGTTAGCACTCGTTGGAGGATCCTACAGAATTGCAGGGTGTACAGGAGTGCTGAGTTCTGTGGTACTGACCATAGATTGGTTGTGGCTACCCTCCGGGTCCACTTCAAAACCCCCCAGCGGTCAAATGATCACCCTAGGGTGTTTCATTTGGACAGGCTGAGGGAGGGGGAGTGTGCCCGCGGGTTTGCTGAGGCAATCTCTGATCGTTTCGCAGTGCTTGGCAGTCTGACAGACCCTGTTCTTCTGTGGGATACCTTTAAGCGTGAAACGCTTGATGCAGCTCAAGATACGATTGGTGTACGCCCGAGAGCAGTACAGAATTCCATCTCACGGGAGACACAGGAAGCCACAGATGCGTGTCGTGCGGCTCGTCTGACAGGGGATCGGGAATTGCACCGTTCTCATGTGCGCAGAACTCGGTCCCTGTTAAGAAGGGACAAGGAACAGTTTATTAGGAGTCTTGCAGAGGAGGTAGAAGGCCATTTCTTAGTAAATGACCTTTGTCCTGCATACCAAGCCCTGAGAAAGCTGAACTCCAAGCCCTCTTCACAGGTGACAGCAGTCCGCTCAGTAAGTGGTCAGATCGTTTCAGATCCTGTTGCGGTGGGGGACGTTGGGCTGAGTATTTTGAGCAGCTGTACCAGGTGGACCCACCAACAGTTAACTTGGATTGCGGGTAGTGTCGAGATCCCGCTGCCGGATCCACCTATCAGTGAGGACCCTCCCTCCCTAACTGAAGTTAGGGGGGCGATTTCCAAGCTGAAGAGTGGTAAAGCAGCTGGTATCTGCGGCATACCAGCTGAACTGTTAAAGGCTGGTGGTGAACCTATGGCACGGGGGTTACATGCTGTCCTGGCTGCCATCTGGCAGTCCGGTTCCGTTCCTCCTGACCTGTTGAGGGGTGTGGTCATCCCTCTCTGGAAGGGGAAGGGGGACCGTTGGGACTGCAGCAATCACCGAGGCATTACACTGCTCAGTATACCAGGCAAGGTTCTCGCCCACATCCTTCTGAGACGTATCAGAGACCATCTACTGAGGCACCAGAGGCTGGAGCAATCTGGATTCACTCCTGGTAAGTCCACAATAGACCGTATCCTCGCGCTTCGAGTCATTGTAGAGCGCCGTCGTGAGTTCGGGCGTGGGCTGCTCGCAGCCTACATCGACCTCAAGAAGGCGTTCGATACGGTGCATCGGGAGTCACTTTGGGAGATCCTGAGGCTGAGAGGAATACCAACAAGGATTATTGGACTAATAGCAAGCCTGTATACTGCTACTGAAAGTGCTATAAAGTGTGGTGGGGCCTGTCGAGCTTCTTTCCTGTTAGTTCAGGAGTGAGGCAAGGCTGTGTCCTTGCACCAACTCTTTTCAACACTTGCATGGACTGGATACTAGGCAGAGCTACTGTTCAAAGTCATTGTGGGGCAACGCTGGGCAATATCAAGGTTACAGACCTTGACTTTGCTGATGACGTTGCCATTCTATCTGAGTCTTTGGAAACCCTAGTGGCGGCTCTCGATGCATTTAGCAATGAAGCGAAGCCCCTGGGTCTAGAGGTCTCCTGGACCAAGACCAAGGTCCAGGAATTTGGGGACTTGATAGGAGAACCTGTTCAGTTGGTACGTGCTTGCGGCGAGGACATTGAAGTCACAGAGAGCTTTACATACCTTGGTAGTGTAGTTCATAACTCTGGGCTGTCAGACCATGAAGTCAGCAGACGGATTGGCCTGGCAGCAGGGGTCATGAACTCTCTCAACAAGAGTATTTGGAGATGTCGGTACCTGTGCAGAAGGACCAAGCTTCGGGTTTTCAAGGCCCTGATAATGCCAGTTTTGCTATACGGTAGCGAAACCTGGACATTGTCCTGTGCCTTGGAGGCTCGTCTTGAAGCCTTTTGCAATAGGTCCTTGCAAAAGGCTTCAAAAGGACAGGCTGAGGGAGGGGGAGTGTGCCCGCGGGTTTGCTGAGGCAATCTCTGATCGTTTCGCAGTGCTTGGCAGTCTGACAGACCCTGTTCTTCTGTGGGATACCTTTAAGCGTGAAACGCTTGATGCAGCTCAAGATACGATTGGTGTACGCCCGAGAGCAGTACAGAATTCCATCTCACGGGAGACACAGGAAGCCACAGATGCGTGTCGTGCGGCTCGTCTGACAGGGGATCGGGAATTGCACCGTTCTCATGTGCGCAGAACTCGGTCCCTGTTAAGAAGGGACAAGGAACAGTTTATTAGGAGTCTTGCAGAGGAGGTAGAAGGCCATTTCTTAGTAAATGACCTTTGTCCTGCATACCAAGCCCTGAGAAAGCTGAACTCCAAGCCCTCTTCACAGGTGACAGCAGTCCGCTCAGTAAGTGGTCAGATCGTTTCAGATCCTGTTGCGGTGCGGGGACGTTGGGCTGAGTATTTTGAGCAGCTGTACCAGGTGGACCCACCAACAGTTAACTTGGATGCGGGTAGTGTCGAGATCCCGCTGCCGGATCCACCTATCAGTGAGGACCCTCCCTCCCTAACTGAAGTTAGGGGGGCGATTTCCAAGCTGAAGAGTGGTAAAGCAGCTGGTATCTGCGGCATACCAGCTGAACTGTTAAAGGCTGGTGGTGAACCTATGGCACGGGGGTTACATGCTGTCCTGGCTGCCATCTGGCAGTCCGGTTCCGTTCCTCCTGACCTGTTGAGGGTGTGGTCATCCCTCTCTGGAAGGGGAAGGGGGACCGTTGGGACTGCAGCAATCACCGAGGCATTACACTGCTCAGTGTACCAGGCAAGGTTCTCGCCCACATCCTTCTGAGACGTATCAGAGACCATCTACTGAGGCACCAGAGACTGGAGCAATCCGGATTCACTCCTGGTAAGTCCACAATAGACCGTATCCTCGCGCTTCGAGTCATTGTAGAGCGCCGTCGTGAGTTCGGGCGTGGGCTGCTCGCAGCCTACATCGACCTCAAGAAGGCGTTCGATACGGTGCATCGGGAGTCACTTTGGGAGATCCTGAGGCTGAGAGGAATACCAACAAGGATTATTGGACTAATAGCAAGCCTGTATACTGCTACTGAAAGTGCTATAAAGTGTGGTGGGGGCCTGTCGAGCTTCTTTCCTGTTAGTTCAGGAGTGAGGCAAGGCTGTGTCCTTGCACCAACTCTTTTCAACACTTGCATGGACTGGATACTAGGCAGAGCTACTGTTCAAAGTCATTGTGGGGCAACGCTGGGCAATATCAAGGTTACAGACCTTGACTTTGCTGATGACGTTGCCATTCTATCTGAGTCTTTGGAAACCCTAGTGGCGGCTCTCGATGCATTTAGCAATGAAGCGAAGCCCCTGGGTCTAGAGGTCTCCTGGACCAAGACCAAGGTCCAGGAATTTGGGGACTTGATAGGAGAACCTGTTCAGTTGGTACGTGCTTGCGGCGAGGACATTGAAGTCACAGAGAGCTTTACATACCTTGGTAGTGTAGTTCATAACTCTGGGCTGTCAGACCATGAAGTCAGCAGACGGATTGGCCTGGCAGCAGGGGTCATGAACTCTCTCAACAAGAGTATTTGGAGATGTCTACCTGTGCAGAAGGAGCAAGGTTTTCAAGGCCCTGATAATGCCAGTTTTGCTATACGGTAGCGAAACCTGGACATTGTCCTGTGCCTTGGAGGCTCGTCTTGAAGCCTTTTGCAATAGGTCCTTGCGCCAGATCATGGGGTACTGTTGGCGGGACCATGTGTCCAACCAACGGTTGCACCGTGAGACTGGCACAAGCCCTGTTATCTGCACAATCCGTGATCGCCAACTCAGGCTATATGGCCACCTGGATCGCTTTCCTCAGGATGATCCTGCCCATCAGGTCGTCTCTATTCGAGACAACCCTGGGTGGAGGAGGCCTTTGGGACGACCGAGGAAGTCATGGATTGGGCAGATCGACCAAACCTGCCGTGAAGAACTAGAGATGGGCCGAGTCCCTGCCTGGCGCCTAGCCATGAGGGATCCTCATAGGTGGAAGCGAAGGGTGGATGTGGCTATGCGCCCCCGTCGGCGTCAGCCCCCATGATGATGATGATGAGTGTATGGTGCAGACACGACCTTCTGGGGACAATGACGAGGAAATCATCTACGTAACGAAGCCAAGTTGAGTGCCTTCCGATTATATCCCTGTAGTGGTCCCTTTCCAGCGTCCATGAAGAGCAGGCCAGGATAGCGCTCAGAGGGGACCCCATGGCGAGGCCGCTGATTTGCTGGTATTCATCCCCAGCGAACTCGAAGAAGCCGAAGTCCACACACAGCTTCACGAGGCTTATGAAGTGGTGCTTTGGCAGTGGAAGTTCGTCATCTACCATGGATCCGGTGACCCTCTCGACTGCCCGGATAGCTCCATCTGTGGGTACATTTGTAAAAAGGGATTTAACGTCAAAACTAGCCAGTTTTGTATTTTTATATACAGAACCCTGCAGACGTCTGATGAGGTCCGCAGAGTTCTTCAGGTGAGAATCACTGATGACTCCCATGGCGGCGGAGGGGTTTCGCCAAACATTG